GTGCCCCTGGACGGCGACGAGGCGGGGCCCACGGGCGAGCCGCTGACGCCGTTCGAGCGCCACCTCCGCGCGAACTCGCCCAAGCTCCGGGACCCCGTCGACGAGGCCGCGTACTCGCGCGGCGCGGAGGAGCGCAAGGAGGCCGCCTTCCCGTTTTTTTGAGAGAATTAAAATCCCCCCGGCGCCGCGAGGTAGGCCGCGACGCCGAAGCCGAGGCCCGCGACCGCGAGCGCCGCGGCGACGGCCTCCCGGGACCGCGGCGCCGCGGACGCCGCGGCGCGCGGCGCCGGGGGCCGCGCGCGCGGGGCCGCGGGCTTTCTTCGCCGGGGCGGGCCCGGGACCGCGTCCTCGACGTCGGGCGCCCGCGTGTCCTTGAGGAGCTGGCCGCACGCGCCGGCGACGTCCGAGCCCATCGTGATGCGCACGCACGTGAGCACGCCGTGGGCCTGCACGGCCTTCTGGAACGCGGCGACGGCGGCGTCCGACGGGCGGTCGTAGGGCAGGTCCGGCGTCGGGTTGTAGGCGATGAGGTTGACCATCGCGCGGCCGCCGAAGCGCGGCGCGGCGCCGGCCCTGGAGAAGAGTTTGCCGAGCGCGTCCGCGTCGGCGACGGAGTCGTTGACGCCGCCGAGCAGGATGTACTCGACCATGATCAGGGGCTGCTTCTCGTCGTTGCGCCGCTTCCGCGAGCCCCGGCGCTCGAGCTCGCGGAGCTTCTCCGCGACGTACGCGTCCAACGCGTCCAGCAAGTCGTCGAGGTCGTAGCGTTTCGCCGCGGGCATGATCGCCACCCGCTGGTCCTGCGTCGGCGCGTGCAGCGACAGGGCCAGGTTCGCCCGGGGCTCGTCGGCCGCGAGGCTCCGGATGCGGTCGACGACGCCGACCGTCGAGATCGTCACGCGGCCGCCGCCCAAGGCGAGCCACCGGTCGTCCAGCAGGCAGCGGCACGCGCCCAGAACCTCGTCGTAGTTGTTGAGCGGCTCGCCCATGCCCATGAAGACGACGTTGCGCAGGCGGCCGTCGACGCCTTTCGCCAAAAGCACCTGCTCGACGATCTCGCCGCGCGTCAAGTCGCCCTGCATGCCCATGGTCCCCGTCGCGCAGAACGAGCAGCGCATCGCGCAGCCGACCTGGGACGACACGCAGACCGTGACGCGCGACGACCGCAGGGTGCCGTGGCGCATGACCACGGTCTCGACCTTTTTGCCGCAGCGGAGTCCGACGACGAGCTTCGACGTCGAGCCGTCGGACGAGTCGTGGCGCGAGACGAGGTCGACGCTCCGCGCGCTGAAGTTCGCCGCGACGGCCTCCTTGAAGCGCCGCGGCGGACTGCTCCGGAGGTCGCCCCAGGCGACGTCGTCCCAGGCCGCGACCTCGGGGTGGCGGGCCAGGTAGCCCAGCAGGTGGACGCTGTGGCTCCAGGACACCTGGAGCGCGTCCATGGAGCGGCGCAGCGCGTCGACGTCCCAGACCGACGGCCGCCGGGCGTCGTCGGCGTACTTGCGGCCCATGCTTGGTTATGTGCGTGCTTTTACGCGGCGCTCCGCCGCGTCGCTTAATAAAGCGTCCCAGCCTTGCATACCCAGAATTTGTGGTTCTCGAGGCGGTGCGCGTCCTCCTCCCAGTACCACACGTAGGGCGTGTCCTCGCGCAGGTCCGGGCCCGTGGGCTCCGCCTCCATCTCCTCGAAGTACTGTTCATCGGGCGCGGCATGCACCGTGACCTTGGACATGGGTCCCAGCTCGGCGCGCCGGCGGGCAAGGCCTACTTGGGCAGCGGTTCTACGCACGCACAAGGCCTAGGCACAGGCGCTCTTGTTGCTTGCCTGGAGCCACGAGCATCAGCGCTCATCGAGCATTCCCAGTATAAATGCTTGAGTCGAAGCATGTGAGGGAAACTTCAGGATATGGCCCTCTCGATGAAACCTCTGAAAAGGCCATCCGCGCTGATGATGGAGCCCTGAAGTGGAAAAGCCGCCGCCGCACCGCGACATGTGCGATCCCGCGCCGCCGGCCAAGGCCGTGGACGGCGAGGTGCGGGACGCGTCGCCGGCGCGGACGGCCAAGGGCCCCGGCCGCGACGACACGCCCGGCGGCACGGGCGCCGCCGCGGCCAAGCTCCTGGCGACGAAGAGCACGAGTTTGCGCAAGCTCCAGTTCGGCGAGGAGCCCCCGCGGGCCGAGCTCGACCACCGCGTGCTGCTCCTCAACGGCATCAAGCTGTTCCAGGCGCTCGGGCGGCCCGAGGTCGAGTCGGCCGCGCGCGCGATGGAGAAGGGCGACTTCGAGCGGGGCGACGTGCTCATCGAGCAGGGCGAGGCGGGCGACGCGTGCTACATCGTCGACCGGGGCGTCGCCGACGTCTGGGTCGACGGGGCCAAGGTCCACGCCTACGGCGAGCGGGGCTTCTTCGGCGAGTGGGCGCTGCTCCGCCACGAGGTCCGCGCCGCGACGGTCACCGCGGGCAGCGACGACCTCAGCGTCTACCGGCTGGACAAGGACGACTTCGGCGCCATCATCGAGGAGCGGGACCACCTCGAAGATCTCATCCGCGACCAGAAGTTCTTCGAGAATTTTGACGATGAAAAAGTAGCGAAGATCGCGGCGGCGTGCGCGCACGCGGCCTACGCGGACGGCGAGGAGATCGTCACGCAGGGCGCCGCGGGCACGTGCTGCTTCCTCCTCGACAGCGGCGAGTGCGTCGCCAAGATCTCCACGGGCTCCGACGTCCAGATCGTCAAGCGCTACACGTCCGGCGACCTCTTCGGCGAGGTCGCGCTGCTCAAGCGGTCCGTGCGCGCGGCGTCCATCGAGGCCGTGGGGAGCGTCGCCGTCTACACGCTGAGCCTCTACGACTTCGAGCGCCTCTTCGGGCGGACGTCGCTCCGCGCGTTCCACGCGGAGCACTACCCGATGGACCCGCGGAAGCTCATCTCGGACTTCTACCGCGACGGCGACGCGTCGGGCCCCGCGGGCGCCGGGGCGGGCGAGCGGGCGGGCGGCGAGGCGACGCGCTGGTTCGCCATCTTCCGGCCCTGCTCCCGCGACTCCATCGCCAAGATGCTCGGCAAGGTCGGCGTCGGCAAGGGCCTGAACGTCAAGGGCAAGTCCGCGAAGAAGAACCGGCTGTCGGGCTTCGTGCCCTTCGTGCAGATCCACAAGGACGCGCACAAGGACAAGGTCGAGGAGCCGCCGCACTGGAGCCGCTTCCGCGTCTACTACAAGTCGGAGCTCCAGCGGACCGAGGCGCGCGCGGGCCTGGAGGCGCTGAAGAAGTTCTGGTTCGCCTGGTGCAAGCGGGGTTTAGGGGAGATTTTGGACCTGAACGACTACGCGGACATGTACGGCCTCGACGTGCCCGAGTTCCTCTTCATGGACGCGTACGTGAAGCGCGCGGACGTGCGGCCGATGGTCGGCTGGGAGACGGGCCGCGACAGCGAGCCGGCCTTCATGAACATGAACCTGCACACGCTGCGGGGCACGTCGTCGCCGACCGTCGTGCTCCTCCAGCACGACACGCTCGAGGCCATGAACCCGCGGGGGTTGCTGGTCGCGCGCGGCGCGGGACACGGGCGCGAACGTCGCGAGGCTCCGATCTCGGCCGTTTCCCGCTCGTTTCGGCTGATTTTTGGACGAGCGGTCATCCCCTGGAACGGTCTCGACGCATGGACGCGTTTTCCGGAACGCGCGCGCGCGAATCGCTCACGTTGAAGCGACGTTGAATCTCTCTTTCCCCGCCCAGGTCGCGTACGCGGAGGAGTTCGTCAAGCCCGTCGTGTCCGACTTCGACATTTTTACCATTGGGTCGTCGGACACGTACGAGTACGGCCCCCTGCCGACGAACCAGGTCAAGCTCATGCAGTGGCTCGTGCACAACGCGGAGCAGCTCATCCACGTGCACAATTTGGACTCGACGTTCGCGAACTGGACGTCCGCGTGGCTCAAGGTGCTCAAGAAGGAGGCGGACCTGGGCTTCGCGCCGAAGCTGCCCGAGTTCGGCTACGGCGACCGCCACAGCTACGACTTGGTGTCCAAGTGCGTCGCGGCGACGCGCGACGTCGGCGCGGTGCGCCACGGCGCGGAGTGCTTCAACTACTACTTCCCCCAGGAGCTCGACCCGGACTATCTCGTGGTCTGGGACGGCTACCGCGGCGCGGACCTGGGGGAGCCGCCCTGGCGCACGCTCACGGAGCCGGAGCTCCGCGCGTTCCTGCTCGCGCGCATCGACGACGGCTTCGTGTTCCCGCTCAACCCCGTGTGGCCCATGCGCGACCCGGGCTGGGGCGAGGTGCTCGACGCCATGTTCGACCGGCCCCGGGCCGCGGCGGCGCTGGAGCGCTGGCTGCCGGAGAAGAGCGGCGTGCGCTCCGCGATCATGCGGTGCCGCGCGAACTTCCCCAACGGCTTCCGGCCGCACGACGCCGCGCACAAGGAGGACACGATGACCGAGGGCAGCGGGCGCAACATGCGCACGTCCATGCTGAGCCAGGTCACGGACATGGCCGGGTCCGAGCTCGCGGACTACGCGCACGCGGAGGTCCAGAAGATCGTGCGGACGCGGTGGCGCCGCATCCGCGTCGCGCTCAACGTCGCGCTCTGCGAGCGCGCGCTCGGCGTCGCGGACGTCGCCGTGCGCAAGTCGCTGCTCACGGTGAACGTCGCCAAGCACGGCGAGGGCATGTCGAAGCCCACGCTCGTGCGCACGTCCGAGGGCGGCGACGGCGACGACGCGCTCGAGCGGGCCTTCGAGTCGTCGCTGACCCCGAGCCACAGCCAGCAGTCGCTGCGCAGCGTCCTCAAGGAGACGAAGAGCCACTACGTGCCCAAGGAGCTCTACGGCGGCGGGGGGGACATGCTCCTCGTGGACCCGGACGCGGAGTACGACGTCCTCCCCGGCGACGACCTGCCCGCGGAGGTCGTCCGCGACTGCGACGCGAAGGCGGTGCTCGCCGAGGAGCTCGAGCAGGCGAGCTCGGGCAAGCACCTCACCTTCGGGTCGCGGGCCTCGAGCGTCGACAAGCTCCCGGGCCTCGACGACCCCCCCGCGCCCGCCGCGGCCGCGTAACGAATTGTTCCTAGGCGAGGGGCGGCGGCGCGCCGCCGAACTCGGAGCCCCGGTCGACGTCGCCGGACTCGTAGGCCGCGGCCTGGGCCTCCGCGCGCTGCCGCTTCGCCGCGGCGACGCGGCGCCGGTCGTCCGCGAGCTCCTGGACGGTCTTCTTGCCCGTCACAACCGCAAAAACCTTCGCCGCGGCGCCGTCGGCCGCCTCGACGACGGGCGGGCCCCCGGCCTCGACCAGGGCCCGCATCTTCCGGCGGAAGTGGGCGACGCGGTCGCCGGGGAACGCGGCCGCGGCCTCGCCCGCGTACGACGACGCGGACTCGAAGAGCTCCGCCTGGGCCGCCGCGAGCGTCGACGCGACGCGCTCCAGCAGCGCGTCGCGCGCGGCCTCGTGGAGCGCCAGCTCGCGCTTCGCCGCCGCGTCGGCCGCGTCGAAGACCTCGCGCCGCGACGCCGCGAGCGCGCGCTCGCCCTTGCCCTCCTTGGCCTTCCGCGCCGCGCGGTCCAACTCGAGGCGCCGCCGGTCGCGGAACGCCATGGCGTCGCCGCAGGTCTTGGACGTGGCGAGGTGGCGCAGGGGGTCGAGCGCGGCGTCGACCAGCACCTTGCCCGCGGACCGGCGCACCGTCGCGTGCACGTACGCCGCGCGATCCCGCAGGCCCTTGGCGGCCGTCCCGACCTCCCCGCCGCTCCGCGCCGCGACGGCGTCGAGGAGCTTCACCGTGTTGTCGAAGTAGCGGAAGCCCGTCACCAAATGCTCGCACAGACCCGCGCCGAGCGTCTCGACGTCGGCCATCGTTTTTCGGTGGAGCGTCGCGGCGCCGTCGTAGGCCGTGTCCGCCGTGACCTCGCCGCCCTGGCCCTTCTCCCGCAGGTACTGGCTCGCGCGCTCGAGCTTGGGCATGGCTGGGCGGTGCGGCGCGGGCGCGGTCGATTGGCGGGCAGCCTCGAGCCGAGCGCAAAGCAGGCCCAAGGTAAAATTTTACCGCGACGGTGCCCTGGAGTTGATGCCAATCGACGGCTCGAACAGCGAGCAGCGGCAGCTCGTCCGGGCGCGACGACCGGGAGCGCGACGCCACGCGATGTTCTTCGAGTCGGAGTACGACCGCGCCGTCGAGAAGGCCCGCGAGGCGGAGCGGGCGGCGGCGGACTCGCTGCGCGCCGCCGGCGTCGGGGCGCCGGTGGACGGCGGCCGCGCGGCGAGCCCGGCGCCGGCCGGCCAATCGGCGCCGGCGAAGCCCGCGGCGCCCATGGTGCCGCGGGCCGTCGCCGCGCCCGACGCGCCGCGGCCCGCGCCGGAGCCCAAGCGGCGGCCCGCGCCGGACAAGGCGACGCGAGGCGACGAACCGCCTCGGGAGGAGGACCGGGAGAAGCCGCGGAGCGACGACCGGGAGAAGCCGCGGAGCGACGACCGGGAGAAGCCGCGGAGCGACGACCGGGAGAAGCCGCGGGGCGACTACCGGGAGAAGCCGCGCGGCGACGACCGGGACCGGCGCGGCGACGACCGGCGCCGCGACGACCGGCGCCGCGACGACGACCGGCGCCGCCTGAGCCGGCGGCGACCGGCGGCCCGCGCCGCGCGAGGAGCGGCGCCGCGACGGCCACGACGACCGGCGCCGGAGCCGGTCGCCGCCGCGCGACGACCGGCGCCGCGACGGCCACGACGACCGGCGGCGGCCGCCGTCGCCGCGCCGCGGCGGCGCGCGGGGCGACGCGCGGTCCGGCGGCGGCGGCCGGCGGGACCGGCGGTCGCGGAGCTCGTCGCGGTCGTCGTCGAGCTCGTCGAGCAGCTCGAGCGACGACGAGGAGCTCTACGAGGGCTTCCTCAGCGACAGCGACGACCAGGACGACCGCGCCGTGACGTGGATGCGGCAGTACGGCCGCAAGGACCGCTTCGAGCGCCGCGAGCCCCACCCGATCCGCGGCGACTCGCTCCTCGACGTCGCCAAGTGCGCCGCGCGCCTCGCCGTCAAGGGCAAGTACGGCAACTGGGACGACTACCTCCGCTTCCTCCACCGCCACTCGAAGCGGTGCCGGCCGCCGCCGGGCCGCCGGCCCGAGGAGCAGACGCCCTTCCTCCTCCGCAACTTCCTCAGGTCGCTCCACGAGGTCGACCGCGTCGGCGACGTCGCCCGCGTCATCAAGGAGTCGCGCCACCTATGATCTCGGAGACCGAAGTAAATGCACGGACGTTCGCCCGTCGCGCCCTTCTCCACCGGGAGAAGCCGGGGCGCGACGGAACTGCAAGGCTAGCGCGGTCACTGAGCATGGCGCACTTTGCTTCTTCAAGTCAACTTTATATTATGTTCACCGTTCTCCGGAAACAATTGGCAGCCCGCGAGAGAAGACGATGAACTACTCAAACTGGAAGTCCACCGGGCGGCAGGCGCCAGTGATGGAGTCGGCCTGTGATCGCGTGAGCGTAGGGCTGCGCATCCGACCGCTGAATTCGATAGTCCTCTGTGCGGCCCTCGTCGTCTCCGCGGCCGACGCGCCTCCGTCGTCGAGGCCGTCGTCGCCCCCGACGACGATGGCGGTCGACGCGGGCGACGCCGCGTGCCCCTGCCTCCCGCTGTCCGAAGCCCCGGGGAACCCCCTGGCCTCGACTAACCTGACGAACCTCAACCTCACGTCCTGCTCGCTCCTGGCGCCGTCGTCCGCAGGCGTGCCCTGCCTCACGCAGGCCATGGTCGACGCCGGCGCGTGCCAGTGCTACGCGGACAGCTACGGCTACGGCGAGTGCGCGGCGCACGACGAGGGGCTCGCGCCGTCGTGCGACGACGTCGGCGCGGAAGCGGCGTGGTGCGGCCTGCGCTGGTGCTACGTCGACGAGGCGCTCTGCCACGGGAGCGCCTACGCCTACGTGGCGAGCGGCGAGCGGTCCGCGACGACGTCCGCGATGACGACGGACGCGCTCAACGCCAAGGTGCCGGGCCTCGGCGCCGCCGTCGCGGCCGCGCGGGCCGCGCGGCGCTTCTTCTCCTACGGCACCTGCGGCGAGGACGAGAGCGCCTGGGACGAGTGGACGACCGCGGAGAACATCGCGGGCCTCAGGGGCGTCACGGTCTACCTCGGCGCGATCGCCGGCGACTACTACCCGTCGACGTACGAGGCCAACGGCACGGGCAGCCCCTTCGAGGGCGCCTTCATCGACTACGTGACGTTTCTCCTCGAGAGCGGCGGCGCGACGGTCGTGAACGCCATCGACGTGAGCGCCGCGTCCGCGGCGGCCGTCGGCTCCTTCAGCGGCCTCAGCCTCGACGTGAAGCACGGCGTCTACGACGTCGGCGTCGGCCCCATCTACCCGACGGCCGAGCGCCTCGAGCTCGCGGCCTTCACGCGGCCCATGATCCACGCCTTCATCTACCTCTACGCGCCCCAGCCGACGAAAGACGAGCTAAACTCCTACGACGTCGCGCTGCGCCTCTTCACGCCCTTCAAGGCGTCGCTCTGGGTCGCGATCCTCCTCGTCGCGGTCTGCGTGGGCATGATCCAGACGCTGGATTTAGGCCACATGGACGACGCGGCGTTCGCGCGCCACATGAAGTGGCACAAGGAGACGTCGTTCACGGAGAGCGCGGCGGCCTTTGCGTACGCGGCGCTCCGGGGCGCGCACGCGGCGTCCGTGGATTTGTTCAGCGCGGGCGTCGCGGAGACGACGAGCGACTCCGCCGCGACGCGGTTCCTCATCTTCGGCTGGGCCTTCTTCATCCTCATCATCACGGCGTCCTACACGGCGAACCTCGCGGCCTTCCTCACGTCCGAGCGGGGCCTCGTCTGGGAGTTCGGCGAGAACACGGAGGAGGTGCTCTACGGCCCCGGCAAGGTCTGCGCGTGGCCGTCGACGATGTCGCCCATGCGCGACGTCTACCCGCGGGCCGAGTTCGTCGCCGCGAACAGCTACGGCGAGTTCCGGAGCCACCTCGAGGACGGGACCTGCGACATCATCGCGACGGACGAGTACGACGCGGAGCACACGATGGAGATGAACGCGATCCTGTGCGACTTCGACCTCGTGGCCTTGGACACGGTCGTCGTCATGGCCTACGCGTGGCCCGCGGCCGACGACGTCGCGACGCCCCTGAGCGCGCTCATGGCGTCCTACGAGTCCAAGGGCATCTCCTACAACACGTTCCTCGACCGCTACCCGACGCGCGGCGCGGACACGTGCGCCATCGGCCACGCGAAGCCGTCGGACTTCGACGTCGACGAGCTCCAGCCCCTCACGGTGCGCAACATGATCATCCCGCTGGCGGTCTGCTTCGCGTGCTGCGTCGCCTGCGTCGTCAACGCCGTCAAGGAGGTGAAGTCGCGCGAGCTCGCGGCCATCGCGAATTTGGACGGCGGGTCCTTCGACGCCATCCGCCGCTGGAGCACGGGCCACGACCCGGGCAAGGTCCACGACGCCCACGGCGGTGGCGCCGCGGCCCGGGACGCGTCCGAGTCCGAGTCCGAGTCCGAGTCCGAGTCCGACGACGGCGCCGAGGACGACTCCTACGCCCGAGCTCTAGGGCTGCCCGAGACCGCCTCCTACGCCGGGCTCTTCTCCGACGGCCCGGTTCCGCCGCCGCCGCCCTATAGGCGGCCGTCGCTCGCGTCCCGGAGCGTCTCCTTCTCCTCGGCTCCCGCGGCGGCGCCGCCGCCGCCGGAGGCGAGGGCGATCGACGACGACCCCCCGGCGAAGCGGCGCGGCCGTCGCAAACGCGGCGCCCGCAGGGCCAGCCGGAGGGTGGAGCGGGAGGAGCGGCTCGACGCGGACCTCATCCCCGACGGCCGGGACCGCGGCGACACCGTGGACCTCCCGCATTGCGCTCCGGGAAGCGCGGGCTGCACGCTGCAGTAGGCGCCGGCGTTCACCTTTTTTGTTCTCCAACTCCGGCGGGCCGCGCGTCGCAGTAGGGACACGACGCGAGCCACGGTTTGAACTTCTGTTTCGGTGAGCGTACTAGTTCAATTCAAGTACAACTTTCGGGTATATCTCTCGCGACGGGTTTGAGTGCCATTTTTAATGGGGCGAGAGTAACGCGATCGAGGGATACACACCGCCGTCGCCGCGCGGCCTTCCTGAGTGCGCCTCGACGTTCTCGACGCCGCGGCCGGAGGCGCCGGGCCGCCCGCCGCCCGACCGCGCGACGCGGCCCTAGACACGCCATGGGCGCCGCCGTCTCCGCGCGGGCCGACGAGGTGCCCGGCCAGCAGGAGAAGCTCGCGGCGCTCTACGAGTCGCTGGGCGTGGCGTCCCTGAGCGAGGAGCGCAGGGTCGAGTTCGAGGGTCAGCTCAGGGAGCTCTACGAGCGCCACGGCGGCGACCAGCTCTTCCTGGAGGAGGACGCGCGGAAGCGGTCGGCGCTCTTCAAGCTCTTCGAAAAGGAGGCGCGCGAGCTCTTCGCGGAGCCGTCCCTCGCGGGCGCGTCCGAGTTCCGCCAGAAGCGCCTCAGCTACAGCGCGGCGCCCCAGCGCGGCAAGTCCGACGCGTCCCTCGGCGACGCGCGCGCGTCCGGCGAGCGGAATCGCCGGCCTTCCCTCGAGTTCCGCTCGCCCGAGTACGACCCGGCGAACCCGGCGGCGTCGCCGTCGCCGGAGACGCGGCCACTTGGTGCCAAGGCGCGCAACGCCGTCACGGTGAAGCCGGGCTACGAGGCGACGACCGCGCCCTTCGACGGGTCGATTCTGGGCACGTACAGTTACCACGGCATCGAGCCCAAGCACTACGGCGCGGGCGTCGTGTCGAAGATCAACCAGGACCGGGGCTGCGTCGTCGCGCCCTACAACGACTCCGACGCCTGCAGCCTCTACTGCATCTTCGACGGCCACGGCGAGCACGGCGACGGCGTCTCCGAGTTTGTGCTCGCGACGATCGTCCAGGATTTGGAGGCGCACCCGGACCTCCACGCGGCGCCGGACGTGGCGTTGAAGGCGACGTTCCTCGCGACGGACATGGAGCTCGCGCGGTCCAACGTCGAGTCCTACTACAGCGGCACGACGGCCGTCGTCTGCTACCGCGTCGACGACACGATCTTCACCGCGAACGCGGGCGACTCGCGCGCCATCGTCGCCGTCAAGGACGGCGCCGGCCGGACCTGCGTGCCCCTGTCCATCGACCACAACCCGAACGCGCCGGGCGAGCGCGAGCGCATCGTCAAGGCCGGCGGCTTCGTCTCCGACCCGCCCGAGGAGGGCCTGTCGGCGCGCGTCTGGCTCGACCGCAAGTGCACGCAGGTCGGGCTGGCCATGGGCCGGTCCATCGGCGACAACGCCGTGAAGCGCATCGGCGTCATAGCCGAGCCCGAGGTGCGCACGCACGAGGTGTCGGACCGCGACGACTTCCTCGTCATGGCGACGGACGGCGTCTGGGAGTTCATCCCCAACGAGGAGGCCATCGAGCTCGTGGGCCAGTTCTTCGACTCGGGGGCCGAGAACGCCGCCAAGGACGCCTGCAAGTCCCTCATCGACCTCGCCGTGAAGCGGTGGCGCGACATCGAGGGCGACTACCGCGACGACATCACGGCCATCGTCATGAAGCTCGCCACGCAGGACCCGGACGCCGCGCTCTGAGGGAGCCGGACCGCCTTCTTCCCGCGCGAAACTCCGGGGCCCGGCGCGCCCTCCCAGAGGGCCGCGCGCCCGCTTTGCTGCTTCCGCGCTCCCTAACTCGCCCGAGGGACGCGCCGATCCGCGGTTACGAAGAGCTCGGCCGCCAGAAGGCCGGGAGCGTCCGCGCCGCGGCGAGGACGCGCCGCGTGCAGGCCGTGTGGCTCGCGTTCTCGAAGCGGTCCCGCGCGTCGCGGGGAAAGTCCGCGTCAAAGGCCGCGGCGAGCGCGAGCGACCGCGGGTTCGACGCGAAGCGGTTCCGGTCCGGCACGTCCGCGGAGAGCGGCGCCTCGGGCCAGAGCTCGCGGAGCTTGGCGACGACGGCGCCGAGGCCGCCGCGGCGCAGGTGGTCCTTCTCCGTCAAAAAGTGGAATCGCGGCAGGTTCGCGAGCGCCGCGTCGCACGCGTAGGTGCCCGTGACCCAGACGCCCGGGTCGACGCCCGCGAGCCGCTCGAGGTGCGCCGCGAGGCCCTCGGGGAAGGTCTCGCGCGCCCAGGCCTCGGGCGCGGGGATTTTCGCGTCCAACCGGAAGATGCGGCGCCGCTCGTCTTTCCGGAGCTTCATGTGGAAGTAGCCGCTCCGGAGCACGTCCCAGGGGTCCGCCAGCACCGTCAGGTAGAAGGGGTTCGTCGTCACCTTGGCGAACTTGGCCGGCTGGAAGGGGAAGTGGCCGTAGAGCGCGTCGAGGGGTCTTCGCGCCTCGGCGGGCGCCGGGATGCCGCGGCCGCGGCCCTCCCAGCAGCGCAGGCCGTAGCCGTCGTCGCAGAGCTGCTGCGAAAAGAGCTGGCGCAGCGTCGTGCCGCCGGAGTGGAGGAGGTGGAGGAAGACGACGGACCCGAAGGTCGCGTTCACGGGCTGCCCCATCGGCGCGCAACAAGGTTGCCCTGCAAGGTAGCTATGAGCACTTGATGCTGTCCAGTGCGCCCCCTCGGCTGAGCGGCTGCCCCGATGGAGGAGGGCGGCGCGGCGCCGGCGCCCGAGGCCCGGGAGGCCCAGGACGCGACCCTCGTCGAGCTCAGCGACGCCGACGCCGGCGCGCAGCACCCCGCGGACGACGCGACGGCGGCGACGCCGGACCCGGAGCGGCCGCCCGTCGAGGCCGGGGCCCAGCTGCCGCCGCCGCAGCCGCGGAGCCCCGCGGGCGACGGCGCGCCGCCCGGCCAGACGCAGACGCCGCCGCTCGCGCCGGCGGACCGGGGCGCGTCCCCGCCCCGGGGCGACCTCGACGCCGTCAAGGTGTCCGTCGCGGCCGCGCTCGACGACGCCGCGGACGAGCCCGAGCCGCGGGCGGCGAAGAAGGTCACGGTCGTCGAGAGCCTGCCCGCCGTGCAGCACCGGGGCCTGCGCGTCGACGTGGGCCCGCCGCCGGAGAAGACGCCCGGCTCCGCGGAGCTCGACACGGAGGCGTACTGCCGCCGCATGTGGCAGGGCCAGTCGAACATTTTGGTCGTCGTGCGCGTCCGACCGCTTCTGAAGCACGACCTCGGCGACCGCCACATCGTCAAGGTGCTGGAGCGCAAGGTCTGCGTGATCCTGGACCCCCAGCGCGAGGACGACCGGAAGAACGTGCTCCGGCAGCACCGGTCGCGGGAAAAAAAGTACGCGTTCGACTACGTCTTCGACGAGGAGGACCGCCAGCTCGCCGTCTACAACCGCACGACCAAGTTCCTCATCCAGGGCGTGTTGGACGGCTTCAACGCCACGGTCTTCGCCTACGGCCAGACGGGCGCGGGCAAGACGTTCACGATGATCGGGAGCCACGAGGAGCCGGGCATCGCGCCGCGCGGACATCGGACTTCAAAATTCTCGAGCTCGGCCACATCGAAGTCGATTCGGGTGATTTTTGGACGAAGCGATCGCTCTCCTCGAGCTCTCGAAGCACGACGAAAGAGCTCGCGTCGCAACGGTCGAAGTCGCACGTGTTGAAGTCGGGTTGAGGATTTGATTCGCACCCAGGCATCATGGTCCTCACGCTCCGCGACCTCTTCCGCCACCGCGACCGCCAGAAGGCGCGCGCGCGCCGGGAGATCAAGGTCACGGTGAGCTTCCTCGAGGTCTACAACGAGAACATTCGGGACCTGCTCGGGTCCTGCGAGGACCCCGCGGACGTCGGCGGCGCGGCCAAGGAGGCGTCGGAGTTTTTGGACCTCCGCGAGGACCCGCTCAAGGGGCCCGTCGTCGCCGGCATCACGGAGATCGAGGCGAACTCGGCGACGGAGGTCATGGCGCTGCTCCAGCGGGGCAACGCGAAGCGGAGCCAGCACGCGACGGCCGCGAACGAGGTCTCGAGCCGGTCGCACGCGGTCTTGCAGATCACGGTAGAAACCCGCGAGCAGGCCGAGGGCACGCGCGCGGCGATCCAGATCGGGAAGCTCTCGCTGGTCGATTTGGCCGGCTCCGAGCGCGCGGCGAACACGAAGAACCGGGGCGACCGCCTCAAGGAGGGCGCGAACATCAACCGGAGTTTGCTGACGCTCGGCAACTGCATCAACGCGCTCGGCGACAAGTCGAACCGGGGCCAGTTCGTGCCCTACCGCGACTCGAAGCTGACGCGGTTGCTCAAGGATTCCCTGGGCGGCAACTGCCGCACGGTCATGATCGCCAACATCTCCGCGTCGAACGCGTCCTTCGAGGAGACGCTGAACACGTTGAAGTACGCGAATAGGGCCAAAAACATCAAGACGGACGTGAAGAGAAATGTATTAGAGGTGAACCACCACATCTCGGAGTACGTGTCCCTCATCCAGAACTTGAGGAATGAAGTGACGGTGTTGAAGCAGCAGCTCGCGAACTCGACGACGGGGCCCGGCGGCGCGGTTTTGGAGGACCTGCCGCTCGACGCGCTCCTCGACGCGCCCCGGGCGTCGGCGCCGGCGCGCGTCGCGAAGACGCCGGGCGCGGACAAGGCGGCGCTCAAGGAGATGAAGGCCTGGATGCAGGAGAACTTCCGGGAGCGCATGCAGCTCCGGCGGACGCTCATCGAGCTCGAGGACCAGAACGTGCAGAACTCCATCGAGATCGGCAAGCGCCAGATCATCGTCGCGGACTGGAACGCGTCCCGCGTGCAGACGCCCAAGGCCGGGCCCTCCGGCGATCGCGTCGCGGTGCTGCTGGCCGACGCGCCGGAACACGTCACGGCCGCCTACGGCGAGTGCGAGCAGCTCCGCAAGGCCATCGAGAAGAACGGCCGCACGAAGGGCGAGACGAAGAAGCGGCTGCGCGAGAACGAGAAGGGCGCCGAGCGGTTCCACGCGGAGCTGCGGAACGACCGCCGCGTGACGTCCGACGAGCGCCGCGAGCTCCTGGAGCTCATGTACCGCGCTGTGTGGAAATCTTCAACCCGACTTCAATTTGCGCGTAATTGAACGAATTGCGCCGAGCTCTTCGGCTTTGCTTCGAGAACTCGACGAGAGCAATCGATCCGTCCAAAAATCAGCCAAAACGACTTCGATTTGCCCGAGCTAGAGAACTTCAAAGTTCAGTGGTTTAATTCCACACAGGTACCGCATCGGCAACTTGGAGCTCGGCAACATGCAGCTCGAGCAGGCCCAGGTCATCCACAGCTCGGTCGTCAAGGGCAAGGACCTGACGATCCAGAAGCTCCAGCTGCAGCTCCTCATGCGCGACAAGGTCATCGCGCAGCAGCGGGACATCCTCAAGGCGAACGACCTCGACAGCGACGTGGGCCACGTGGGCCTCCAGCTCATGGAGCAGCGCGCCATGTCGCAGAACTTCGACACCCTGCGGTCGACGACGCCCGCGCCCCACCGCCTCGGGGACCCCGACCCCTGCAACGCGTCCTTCGGGTCCACCGCGGGGTCGAACCCCGGCGGCCGCGTCATGTCGGCGGCGTCGCCCGCGCGCGTCGTCCACGTCCGCGAGCGGAGCAGCCACAAGAAGAGCCACCGCTTCACGGAGCACTCGGGCGACGCGCTGAACGAAGCCACGGACGCGCTCGAGCACGCGAAGCACCGCCGGTCCCACAGCCCCATCGACACGTCGAACTTCCAACGAAGCCACCGCGACCGGTCCGAGGAGCGCGACCGCGACGACCGCGAGGTCCACCACCGCCGCCACCGCCGCCACGCGCCCGACGACGACGACGCGTCGTCCCACCAGCGCGTCGACCGCCACGACCGGCGCCGCCACGCGCCCAAGGACCGCGACCGCGACCGGCTGTCGTCGCTCGGCATCGCTGGCCACTCGGCGCTGCACCGGGGCGGCTTCCACGACGCCGACGCGTCTTCGAACTCCCAGGCGGAGCGCGGCGACGACGAGGCGTCCTTCGGCGCGCCGCGGGACCACTCGCGGGACCGGCCCGACGCGCGCGACGCGCGCGCGCGGGACCCGCGGGACCGGCGCGGGCCCTACGGCCACCGCGCGGCGGACCACAGCGGCGACGACGAGTCGCTCACGGCCCGGGCCTACGGCGCGCCCCGGAACCGCCGCAAGCGCAACCCCAACGGCCCCAAGGGCAACCGGCGGCGCCCGGGCGACCCGGGCGGCGGCGCGCCGCGCGCGCCGCGGCCCGACGGCTTCGGCGGCCACCGCGACGGCGGGCCCTACGCGTCGAACCCGCCGTCCGTCGCGGGCCGCGCCGCCTACGACGCCGAGTCCTACCGCCGCCGGAGCCGCCACGCGCGGGCCAAGCAGGCCTACGGCGGCGCGAACCCGCCGCGCGCGCTGCCGGACGGTGGCGCGGGCCTCAAGCGCGTCCACCCGCTCGGCGGCATCGGCGAGGCGTGCCCGCCCGAGGGCGAGATCCTCGACCGGTCCCACGCGTCCTTCGGCCACCACTCGCGGACCATCACGCCCGAGAAGGCGGCGCCCCTCGAGGCGGAGGCGCCGCCCGCGGCGTCGATCCACGACGAGGCGCTCGGCGGCCTCGACCTCGAGATCCACGGCGTCCACCAGAGCCGGCGCCGCGCGTCCACGAAGGGCTTCGGCAACCTGCGCGCGAAGCTCGCGCAGCGCCGCGAGTCGCAGTCGTCGCTCGACGGCGTCAGGAGCGACGCGGCGCCCGACGACCAGAACCGCGCGCCCCTCGTCGACGTCAACGGCGCCGCGACCGCCAGCGCCAAGCCCCCCCCCTCGGACGCGACCGCCGCGAACCGCCTCCCCGAGCCCGACGCGATCGACGCGCTCTTCGAGCGCTCGTCCCAGTCCGTCGGCGGCGCCGCGGCCGCGAACACGACGTCCTCCGTCGCCTAGGCGCCCCGACCCCACGTAAGCGCCGGGTGCCGCGACGCGCGGCTCGGAGCGCTCGGAAGCTTACGCGTCACGGCACGTCCGCCGCCGCGCTCTCGCGCCGCCGGACGCGGTCGTCGGCGGCGCGGACGCGGCCGAGGATGGCGGCGGCCGCGCGGCCGCCGGCGCGCGGCACGACGACGGGGTCGAACCGCTCGAGGGGTTCCCGGGTGTCGTCGCTCGCGCCGAAGCCGGCCTCGCGCGCGCCGACGCGCGACCGGTGGCCGCGGTCGACGACGACGACGCGCGCGCCCGTGCGCGCGTCGACGAGCCCGAGGGCGGCCGGCGGCGGCGGCGGCCGCGGCGCGTCGTCGAGGCGCAGGGCCGAGAGCTCCGGCGCGTCGGACGCGTTGGCGTCTTCTTCCAGGTTGAGCGACGCGAGGCGCGTGGTGATGTTGCTCATACTTTGCGTATGCAGAGGGAACGTCGGCAGCCTTGGCGCTGCTTTTTGGCGGCTCAGGGCAGCGCGAATGGCGTCACCAAAGCGGCCCAAAACTCAGGGCCCATGCCGATTTGCCACAGTGAGCCGACCTTGATGATCTCTTGATGACCTTGAAGCAAGCTCTTGTGCCAGCGTATGCGCCAGCTCTGAGTGAGAGCAACAGCGCCGTCCGCCGCGAGCCAGGAGCTCTGCAACGCCTGCTCCAAACCCTGCTAAAACTAGGAACGCTCGAAGCTCGCGCGCATGCGGACGTTCCTCGCCTGCCTCGCGGCCCTCGCCGGCGCCGACGCCTTCGTCGCGCCGCGCGCCGCCGCGCGCGGCGCGATGGTTCGCTCCGCCTTCGGGGAAAAACAGCCGGCGCCGACCCCGGAGGAGGAGGAGACGAAGTTCGACCTCGGCACGCTGTCCATGCGCGACAAGGTCAGCGCGTACAACCGTCCCGCGGAGGACAGCGCGCTGCTCTCCGAGTCGTGGAAGACGAAGGAGGCGCCCGGCGACGTCGACGAGGGAGACACAATTGGCCTCCCGTTCGGCCTCCTCGGCGGGCTGGGCCTCGCCGTCGGCCTCGTCGCGTTCAGCTTCGTGCCCGTCGGCGAGCAGACCGTCGGCATCCCCGCGAACGACCCGACGAAGGTGCCCGTGACGAACTTCGTCAAGGTCCTCGACTAGGGTCGGACTAAGCACTTGGACCGCCTTAGGTGCGGACCCCCCTACTGCTCCGGCAGGGGCGCGGAGCCCGAGAAGACGAACTCCGCGGGCCCCGTCATGTAGACCTTGTTGTCGGACTCGCGCCACTCGATCTCGAGGGGCCCGCCGGGGAGCATGACCTCGCAGGTGCGGTCCGTGCGGCCCGTGAGGACGCCCGCGACGCCGACGGCGCACGCGCCCGTGCCGCACGCGAGCGTCACGCCGCAGCCGCGCTCCCAGACGACCTGCGTGGAATTCAAATCTTCAACCCGACTTCAATGTGCGCATATGCGACAGTTTCGACGCAAGCTCTTCGACCGTGCTTCGAGAACTCGACGAGAGCAATCGATTCGTCCAAAAATCAGCCGAATCGACTTCGATGTGATCGAGCTAGAGAATTCTGAAGTTTGGTCAGGACCACCCAAACCAGCGGTTGAATTCCACACAGCAGACGACCATGTTGACGTGGGACCGGTCGACGACGTCGACGAACTCCGCGTTGACCTTCTCCGGGAAGGCGTCCGTGTTGAGCTCGACGGCTTTACCGGTGACGCCGAGGTCCACGGCCTTGGCGTCGTCGACGAACGCCACCGAGTGCGGGTTGCCCATCGACACGGCCGTGACCGCGTAGGTCGCGCCGCCGGCCTCGAGCGCCGCGTCGACGACCCTGTCGCCGTCCGTGGGCGCCAGCGCGCAGGGCACCTTGGGGCCCGCGAGCTCCGGCTCGCCCATGTCGACGGTGATGAGCCCGTCGCCGCGGACGACGGGCACGATGGGGCCCGCGCCCGTGGCGATGGTGAAGACCTCGTCGTCGCCGTCCTTGGCGCCCTCGCAGCCGAGCTCGCCGAGGTAGCGCGCGAGGCAGCGGATGCCGTTGCCGCACATCTCCGGCTCCGAGCTGTCGGAGTTGTAGATGGTCATCTTGAAGTCCGCGCCGTTCTCGCCGGGCATGACGAAGATGACGCCGTCGGCGCCGACGCCGAAGTTGCGGTCGCACAGGGCCGCGGCCTCGGCCGGCGACGCCTTGGGCGTCGCGGAGTCGCGGTTGTCGACGAGGAGGAAGTCGTTGCCGAGGCCCTGGTACTTGGAGAAGGCCAGCGCCGGCCGCAGCGCGGCGCACCGCGCCGCGAGCGCCGCGAGCGCTGCGAGCGACGCGAGCGCGGACGGCATGGAAGGACTGGCGGTGGTGCGCGGCTCCGGCGGCGGCGGCGGCGGTGCAGCACGCGTTGATGCTGCTCGAGCTCTCCAGACGGCGCTCCAGGGCGTCTCGCGAGCCGACTCGGCTGGACACGCGCGCTCCGGCCGCCGCCGGCGCCGCCGCTCACGAACCCCACACCCTTAGTCGTGCCTCGTGAGCCGGCTGTCGGACGTCATCTCCGCCACCAGCTCCGGCGCGCCGTCGTAGGTGCCGACGAGCCAGAGGATGAGGCGGACGTCGACGCCGATGGACCGGGAGAAGTCCGGGGACCACTTGAACTCGTTCAGCAGCCCCTGGCGCTGGCGGTCGAAGTTGAGGCCGACGATGTCGCCGTGGGCGTCGAGCACCGGCGACCCCGAGTTGCCGCCGACCGTGTCCGTCGAGTAGAGGAGGCAGCACGGCGTCGACCGCGCGGCGCCGTCGCGTTCCAGGAGCGTGACGAGCGCGTCCGGCGCCTCGTAGTGGTCCGCGCCCCCGCGGAGCCGCGCCTCGAGCACCTTGTCGAGCAAGCCCGCGAGCGTCGTCCGCGCGCCGTGCGCGACCGCGTCCGCGGGCGCGTAGCCCCGCACGTGGCCCGCGGACACGCGCAGGGCCCCGTTGCAGTCGGGCCAGAAGTGCTCGTCGCTGTGCTGGCGCTGGAGGTCCAGCAGCGCCGACAGGCACACGTCGCGGTCCGACAGCAGCCGCTTGCCCGAATCCCGCACCGCGGCGTAGAGCGGGTAGAGCCGCGTCGCCAGGACCACGAAGGGATCCTCGAGCAGCGCGGGGTCCGGGTCCTCCGCGGCGGTCCGCAGATCCGCGAAGACCCAGCCGGCCCGCAGCTTCGAGTCGCGCACGGCCCGCGCGATGTCGCCTTTCCCGAAGACGCCCCGGCGCGGCACGCCCGCCGCGCGCGCCGCGTCGAGCGCGTCCGCGACGAGTCGCGCCTCGTGCGGCTCGTGGATGCCCTCGAGCCGCGCGGCGAGGCGCCGCTCGAGGAACGGCAGGTTCCGGTCGCGGTAGTCGGCCTCGCGGTCCGCGTCGGGCTTCTTCAGCTCGACGGACGCCTCGTGGAAGTGGTGGCCCGCCGCGAGGAGCGAGGACCCAAAGTACGCGCCGCGGAGCGCCGCGAGCGCGTCGAGCGCGTCCTCGCCGTCCTCGAGCTCGCCGTAGATGCGCTCGAGGTCCTGCAGCAGCACCGCGGCCGTCGGCGCGGCTGCGACGAGGGCGGCCTCCTCGTCGCCGCGCTCCTCGACGAGGCCGATCTTCCGCGCGACGACCAATTTCCCGTCGCTCCGCTTGAGCTCGTTGGCCAGCGACTTCTTCGCGCCCGCGAGCTTCAACCGCGCGACGTCGTCGTCGACCTCGTACTTGCCGATGAGCTCGAGCTTCCGCTTGAAGTCGCGGATGAGCGCGGGCGTCGTGACCTCGTCGCCGTAGCGGAGCCGCCGCGACGGCGCGTAGCGGTTCGTGCTCCCGGGGTAGCCCAGGAGGAAGACGAAGTCGCCGTCGGCCGCGCCGCTGCCGCAGAGCCGCAGCCGCGAGTCCGGCCTGAAGGGCACGTTGGCCTCGTCGTAGTCGGCGACGGAGCCGTCGGGCGCGACGTACGCGCGCAGCAGCGCGAAATCCGCGGTGTGCCGCGGCCACTCGAAGTTGTCCTCGTCGCCGCCGAAGTTGCCGAGCGACCGCGGCGGCGCGTAGACGATGCGCACGTCGCGGAGCCGCTCGTAGGTGAAGAGCACGTAGGTCTCGTAGGCGAACTGCTCCTGGACCTCGCAGCGGACGCCCTCGGCGCTCACGCCGAGCGCCGCGGCCCTGTTCTTCAGCGCGGTCTCGGCGTAGGCCGCGATCTCCTGGCGCCGGTCCCGGACCTTGTTCGCCCGCGTCAGCGCGTCGTCGCCGTCGCGGAGCACCTCGACGACCTCCGCGGACACGTCCGCGCACTCCCGCGTGAGCCAGACCTCGGTGTTGGGCCCGCGGACCTCCGCGGTCCGGTTCCGCGCGACGAAGCCCGTGGTGACGAAGTCCGCGCCCTCGGCGAGGGACGCGGCGCGCACGGCCTCGTGCGCGACGTGCCAGTTCGTCAGGATGAGGCCGTCGTCGCTCACGAACGAGCCCGTGCCGCCGCGGCCCGACGCGCCGACGGACACCAGGGCGTCGCTCAGCGCCGCGTCCGCGCTCGACGTGCCGTCGATCTTCCTCGCGTCGATCTTCAGGCCCATGGCGCGCAGCACGGGCTCGAGCTCGCCGGCGGCGGTGATGGGCCAGGTCCGGAAGCGGCCCATGGCCTCGGCGTGGCCGTCGGCGGCCGCGGGCGCCGGCGCGGCGGCGCGCGCGGCGTCCTCGGTCGGGTCCGCGGCGATGTCCGCGGCGGCCTCGGCCTCCTCGATCGCCGGCGCGGCGACGACGCCGCCGTCCGGCGAGACCAGGGCCTTCTTCTTCTTGGCGCCCATGGACACGCTGTGTGTTGCTGTGGCGCGGCGCGTAGGCGGGAGGAAGCCGCTGGCCGCGGCCAGCAGGCCCAGGAGGAGCACGCGCGTCATCCGTGCGATCGACTGCGCGCGAGCGTGCATCGTCGCACGCTCGAGCTCGAGCTTGCTGCTGGGTCTTCAAGCGAGTTCATGTTGCCGCGATGCTGCCTCCTTGAAGCAATTTTGCTCGGTCGGGGCTGCCGGCGCCATTGCCCTTGCCCGCCGGGCGCCGACGCCCGAGCCGCCCGACGCCCGAGCCGCCCCGGCGGGCGCAGGCCCGCCCTCGTGCGCCATGTCGTCGCGCGGGGACGCGCCGGAGAAGAAGGAGCGCAAGGGGAGCCTGCTGCGCCGGGCGTCGAAGCTCTTCGGGGGCGGCGGCGGCCGGCGGAGCTCGCGGCCGAGCCAGCCCGTGCAGTGGACGGCGGCCATGATCAAGGAGCGCGAGGAGGCGAACGCGCGGGAGCGCGCCGCCGCCGCCAAGGCCGCGGCGGCCGCGGCCGCGGCCGAGGCCGAGCGGTGCGCGCCCGTCGAGGTCGCGTCGCGGCGCGCGAACCGCGTCATCGCCATGCGCGACGGGCGCAACCTGAGCTTCGCCGAGGCCGGCGACCCCGAGGGCTTCCCCGTGCTCTGCTTCTTTGGGATCGGGGGGAGCCGCTACCTCGTGCTGCTTTTGGACGAAGTCGCGCGGCAGCTCGGGCTCCGCGTCATCTCGCCCGACCGGCCGGGCTTCGGGCGGTCGTCGGCCTGGAGCGACCGCGCCTTCGCCGACTTCGCGCGGGACATCGACACGCTCTGCGCGACGCTGAGCCTGCGGCGCGTCGCGCTCTGGGGCTACTCGGTCGGCTGCGCGTACGCGGCGGTCTGCGCGCTGAGCCCCTTCGTGCGGCGGCGCCTCGTCGGCCGGCTGACCCTGGTGTCGCCCTGGGTGCCCCTGTCGGCGCCGGGCGTGCCGCTCCACTTCACCTTCGCGCGCTTCTTCCCGAACGCGTTTGCGGAGCTGCTCCAGCCGGGCTCCGTCAAGGAGCAGCGCGAGCAGCTGCGCCAGCGGGGCACGGAGGCCATCCACACGGGCCGCAGCGCCGAGATGCCCCTGTCGGCGCCGTCGACGGCCATCGAGAACTTCGGGCTCCGGGGCGCGGCGAAGAGCCGCGCGTCTTCGCCGAAGACGCAAGCGAAGAAGAAGGTCGACGACGACGGGCCGGGCCGCGGCGTCTTCGAGCTCTTCCTCTGCGGCGCGGCCCTCGACGAGGACACGGAGACGTTCCGCGCCGACGACTCGGCGGAGCTGTCCGCGCTCGAGCTCCACGCGCTCCAGACGCTCCCGCGCGGGCCCCGCGTGCTCCTCGCGTCGATCATCGAGGCGCAGCGCCAGGGCGCGCGGGGCTTCCGCGACGAGTTCAAGCTCTGCTGCACGGACTTCGGCTTCAAGTACTCGGACCTCAAGTGGCCCGCGCGCATCTACCACGGCACCGCGGACAACCTGGTGTCGACGACGTCCGCGCGGTGGCTCGCCGTGGAGCTCCGCAAGGGTTTGGCGTCGCCGGACGACGTCGAGCTCTTCGAGGTGCCGGGGGGCACGCACAACGGCATGGTCTTCGCCATCCTCCGGCGGTCCCTCACGGCCATCTCTCGGGACCTCGCGCCCCTCGCCGACGAGCCACGCCCGGCGAAGCAGGCGGCCCGCGCGGGCCGCGTCCAGAGCCTCTAGGGCGCGCGGGGTGCGGCGCGCGAGGGGCGGCTCTTTTCCGATAACGCTTCTTCCAACTGCGCTTCAGTAGGGTGACTCGCGGCGCGCTGCGGCGCGCTGCTTTTAAATATGCAACTTGGAACGTTGCACCTCAACTTACTACCGGATCCGGGATCTTGGATCCGGGCCCGCCATCATGATGGCCAATCGCAGCCCGGCGCAGCAGAAGGAGCGCCGCGGCGGGCCATCGCAGCATGCGATCGAACTAGGCGTGAACCTGGCCAGCGCATACCTCGCGCCGACGAGCCTCGCCGCTCTGTGCGCATGCTCTCGCGCGATGAAAGACCTCGCTTCGACGGACGCAGTGTGGTCCGCGCACACGCGGCGGGAGTACCCCTGGTCCGCGCACCTGCGAACGGTGGGCGGCGCGTGCGCCGTCAGTGGGCGGCGCGAGTTTCTGCGGTTGCGCAAGATGTCGGAGAGACACCTTACCAAAGATTACCCTGGAGTCGAGGCATACTCGGCGCTCGTCGTGATCGAGGACAGAGGCGCCACCATCATCGAGGGGCTCTTCGATATTGATGAGACAGGCGGGGAGCTGTCCATCAATGTTCTCCCGGCGAATGAGAAATTGTGCGTCGACTTTGAGCTCCTCGAAGAAGAAAAGGAAATGACGATATCGGTGGTCTTGGTGCGAAAGGTTGACGGCAAATGCATGCAGCTGCTCAGCAATGCGACTACAGAAGACGTCGACGAGCGAAACTCGCATATTTTCTTCAGCGATGACATGTTTTTCGCCCCGAACGAGGCCTGGGACGAGGGCAGGCCGTACTCTACAAACATCGTGATTTGTGACTATTCTGTGGAACATACCGATGGTGAGCGAGTCCTTACCGGCTGGGAGCGTCTTTTGTTCGAGGGTTGGGATGATAGCGCAGGCAGAGATCTCGAGACCAGCCAACTCCTGAGAGAGTGGGCTGACAGTGATACTTGGATTTAACTTCTAGACTTCACCTTAACTAAGGGAATGGAACAAGCCCAAACACCACTGGGTTTTTGCAGAAAACATTCCCCCGTGTGCACCTCCAGCGTCGATCTCGACATGAGCGGACCTGGTCGAAGAGTCCGCCTAATTACAAAAGTGCATTCGCAGTTCACGATGAAGCGGTGAGGAAGGTGGCGCCACTCGATTTTTGTGGGGCTGCCCTTCCGATAGACCTCGGCGCCGGTGGCTGCCGACCATGTCGCAGCCGCGGAACTTCCTGCTCCCGGGCGAGAACGAGACCATGCACCAGATCATGCAGGAGCACTACAAGAAGACGGGCCAGCTCGACAAGCTCGACCCCCTCGCGGACCCCGTGGACCTCGACTTCGATCCCACGGAGCCCATGGGCCTGGGCTTCATGGAGATGTACCCGGTCCACGCCGTCGCCGTCTACATGCTGTCGCCGGGCGAGCAGGGCGAGAAGCACGGCGTCCAGAAGGGCTGGGAGCTCCTCGAGTGCTGGCTCGAGCCCAAGGAGCCCGTCACGGAGATCCCCGACCCGCCGCCGCCGCCGCCCGAGGACCCGGAGAAGGAGAAGAACAAGCTCTTCGACCCCTGGGGCGGCAACTACCCGCGGCCGCCGAAGCGCAAGGAGTGGACGCTCAAGGAGGTCGCGAGCATCGACGGCACGAAGGTCGTCTACGACGTCAACGACGTCGACAAGCTCATGGTCGCCTTCAAGGACGCGGCGAAGCGCGGCGGCGTGCTGACCATGAAGTTCCGGCCCGAGCCCAAGGACGAGAACCAGTTCCGGTCCTACGCGACGGTCGGCGACCCGACGGCGAAGAAGAAGAAGGCCGCGCCGAAGCCCGAGCTCCCCGCGGTCGCCACGAACCCGGCGCAGGCCGCGCTCATGGCCGGCGGCGTCGTCGAGCGCGAGTAGTCTAACGTTGACCGACGCACGCCGTGTCGGAATGTCTACCGTTTACCGAAGCGCGCCTCCGCGGCCGCGGCCATGAGCTCCCGGCGGTGCGCCTGGACGCAGGCCGAGGCGCAGTAGAGGAACTCGAGGCGGCGGAAGGGCTCGCCGCGGACGGCGCCGCCGCAGCTCGCGCAGCGGTTCCGCTTCTCGTCCTCGGCGGCCTTCAGTTTCGCCGCGGCGTCCGCGGCCGCCCGCGCCTCCGCGTCCGCCTCGGCCCTGGCCTTGGCCTCCGCCTTCTGCTGCTTCTGGCGCTCGCGCTGCCGCTTCTTCTTCTCCGCCTCCCTCTGCTTCTTGGCCTTGACGGCCTCGTCGTCGAGGGGCGCGGGCACGGCGCCGCCGGCCCAGTCCGCGGCGGCCTCCCCGAGCCGCGCCCGCGCCTTGACGAAGGCGTCGCGCGTCCGGCGGTCGCCGCAGAGCGCGAAGGCGACGCGGCCGCGGCCGTCGCGCGCCGCGGGGTCCGCGCCGCGCGCCAGCAGGGCGAGCGCGAGCTCCGGGGACCCGCGCGCGGCCGCGAGATGCAGCGCGGAGCTCCCGTCCTCGTCCAGCGACCGCGCGAGGGCGTCGTCGCCGGCGAGCGCCGCGTCGAGCGCGGCCTCGTCGCCCGCGGCGGCGGCGTCGAGCACCGCGCGCGCCGCGGCGCTCACCGCGAGCTTCGCGACGGGCGCCTCGACGACCACCGGCGCGCGGCGCGGCGGCCTGCTCGCTCGGCCTTCTCGGCCGGCGGCGGCGGCGGCGGCGGGTCCGCGGGCGCCGGCGCGTGGAAGAACACGGTCGTCAGGCGCTCGTAGGCGGCGACGACGTGGGCCAGCGTCGGCTTCGCGAGGCCGAACGGAATCTTCTGGACCCGCGGGTCGCGCGCGTCGACGCAGGCGGGCACGTCGTTCTTCCCGAAGAGCAAGGGCCGCATGGCGCGCGCGCAGGCCACGTAGACGCCCTCGCAGGCCTCCAGGTCCGCGCGCCAGGTCTCGCGGAGGAGCAGCGTCACCTCCTCGGCGAGCGCCCGTTCGCCCGCGCGGCGGAGCGTCGACCCGACGGACTTGACCTTGCGGCCCGTGTTGTCCATGGCCGCCTGGGCGCCGCCCTGGCCCCGGCGCGTCGTGTAGCGCGAGAAGACCTGGTGGCGCTTCGGCGCGCCGTCGGGGCCGAAGACGCATCCGGCGAACTTGCCCGACCGCAGCGCGATCAGCGCCACGGACCCGCGGCCGGCCCGCTTCGCCCGCGCGGCGGCCGCGAGCCGCGCGGCGGCGCCGGCCGCCGTCGCCGCGCGCGTCGCCCGCGTGCCGTGGAACCCGCAGCCGCCGGCGAAGGCGGAGCACAAACTCAGGGCGAGGTCCGCGGCGACGGGCGCCTCGACCGTCGACGACCGCGCGTCGACGCGCAGGCCGAAGGGCGCCGCGCCGCCGTCGTCGTCGGACGACGCGCCGTCGTCGTCGTCGTCGTCGTCCGTCTCGTCGTCGTCGTCGTCGTCGACGGCGACCGCGACCGCGACGGCGCGCGGCTCCGGGGCCGCGGCGGCCGCGCGCGGCTTCGGGAGGACGACGGTCGCCTCCGCGGGGACGTCGGTCGCGGCGGCGGCGGCGGCGCCGTCGTCGCCGCCCTGGGACCGCACGAGGGCCGCGACCTCGTCGAGCGCCTCGGCGGACAGCGCCGACAGCGCGACGGCGCGGCCGTTGGCCAGCGCCGCCTGCGGCGCCCAGGGGTAGGCGCGGCGCGTGACGTTCTCCGTCGCCTCGGCGAGCGCTAAGAGGCTCGTCTGCGCTGCGGCAGGCGGAGGAGGTGTAACGGTCGGCGCCATCGTGGTCTGCGAACGCTCGCTGAAGTCGATCGAGCTGTGTTGTGGCAACGATGTGATGGTAGATGATGCGGCTTGCGCAGAAGCGACAACGTCCGTGCGTCTGTGGGCTTGCGCGCTAGAAGCGACAGCGTCCGTGCGTCTGTGGGCCCGCTAGGCCGCCGTACACCACGCATGGGTGCCTTGCTATGCGCCGCCTTGCTGGCCGCGGACGTCCAGGCTGCCAAGATCGGCGTCGTGGGCAGCGGCGTCGCCGGGTCGTCGGCGGCCTTTTTCCTGCGCGAGGCGCTGGGCCCGTCGGCGGACATCGTCGTCTGGGAGCGGGACGCCGTCGTCGGCGGCCGCGCGCGCAGCGTCGCCCTCGGTGGGAAGCAGTTCGACGGCGGCGCGACGGCGATCTCGAGCTTGAACAAGTACTTGATGAACGCGACGGCGGGCATGGCGCGCCGCGACGACGCCGGCGGCGACCTCGGCGTCTTCGACGGCAAGAAGTTCCGCTTCCTCTCGAGCGAGCGCGCGCTGCCCCTCGCGGCGCGGGTCGTCGCGCGCTACGGTTTCGCGCCCGCGCGCGTGCTTCCGGCGCTCAAACAGACCGTCGCCAACCTGTCGCGCGTCTACGACCTCCAGCGGGCCGACGTCGCCTTCGACACGCCGGAATCGCTGTTCCGCGCGCTCGGCCTCTACGAGCTCACGCAGGTCACGGCCTACGACCACTTCAAGTCGCTGGGCGTCCCGGAGGAATTCGTCAAAGAGTTCGTCGACGGCGCGAGCCGGGACAACTACAACCAGGACGGCGGCATGAACGCCTTCGCGGACATGGTGAGCCTCGCGGGCGCGGCGCGGCGTCCGACGATCGCCTCGAATAAAACCAACGCTCTCCGTAGGCGCGGCGCTCGCGGGCGAGGTCTTCGAGCTCGCCGGCGGTACGCGGCAGATCCCGGAGAAGTACCTCGCGGACGCGCGGGCGGACGTACGCCTCGGGGCCGAGGTCGTCGCGATCGACGGCTCCGCGCCGCCCTACGTCGTCGTCGACGCCGCCGGCCGCCGCGAGCACGTCGACGCGGTCATCGT